AATGTTGGTATTTAAAAATGTGTAAAAGATTTTTGAATTACCATTGCATAAATTCTAGACTTTATTACCATTTCTAGTGTGTTTTAAAAAGAGCTACTCCAGAGTCACAAGATCATATATAACAACCTTATAAGTACACAACACTCTTATCTTCTGTACTTTCAAAATAATGCTTTTTGCTTGAATTTCTAGAGTACAAAATTTGTTGTGTCTATATTTGACGCTATGTATGCAACCACAAAATCCAAGGTATAAAGTAATAGACTACTAATTGATTATAAGTAGTATAATGGAACAGAAAATTAAAAATAAACCTGAATCACTTATAAACAATTTTATCTAATCATGAAATCCTTCTAATTCATGTATATTTTTTCTATTGATTTCTTCTTCTATGTAATTCAAGGTAAGTGGTGGTCAAACGACACCAGCTGTACAACCTCCAGAAGTAGCTAAAGGTGTCCAATCAATATTTGATGGTACTAAATTAGATGTATACAGTGCTGGTGTAACACTTTATTTTATGCTTACTGGTCATGTACCATTTTCATGTCAAAATGTACTACAAATATTTGAAGCAATTGTTAAAGGTGATTATACAATACCAGGACATGTATCAGCTAATGCTTCAGATTTAATTCGAAAAATGATGCATAAAGATCCTAAAGTAAGTGTGTATATTTATTTCTTATTTTATGTCCTTATTCTTTGATAGATTTATTGATGTTTCATGTTCTTTTACTACTATCTAACCAGTCATTCAGCTACAACATAGAACTTGGTACGTACGCAAGTACATCAGTCTAAGTTACCATGATATATTAGCATACAGATGGAATTGTCAATTCAAATCTCACAGTAGCAGAACTAATAGAGGTAATGGAGAAAGAAGTATAGGACTCAAAGATATAATTTGAAAAATAAAATCCAGTGAAGTAAATTTAAGAATGGGTCCTGAGCTCATGAGGTGGTTGTGAGAGAAAACAAGGAATGTATGCATATGCGCCATCGCGATTGATTTTCAGCCATGTCATTGAAGTCCCTAACCATCGGTTAAGATTCTCTCACGTACCCCAACCTGGTAGTCTACACCTACCTACATGGCTCAATCCAGTTTTCAGTGACTTCATGGACTTGTCTCATGTTTCGGTTTGGCCACCGCTAACTTCCAGCCTACCCCTACACCACAAACATCGTTCGTCGAGGCAGTCAGTGGTTGGGTATATGTAACACAAGTACCAACCACCTTCCTTAACTTTTTTCCCTTTTCCTAATCTCAGCGTTGCTTACTCGGTGGTCCCAGGATATACGAGCGATACTTCAAAGACACCTATGATCGAATACTAAAAGCCTACGAGTATCCTCTGCTCTAAATGACCATGTTTTACATCCCATATAGTAAGATGGAGCTAACTGCTACACAGTAGATTTGTTCTTTGGTTAGCAAATGGATATATTGCCTACGCTATAAATGACGCAGGTTGGCGAAAGTCAATTGAGCCTTCTATAGCCGTGCTGAGATCTTGTCAGACACCAGGCCATCAGGACCGATGTGACTCCTAAGATAAGTGTAGTAGTCAGCTCTCTCAACTACTTCACTCCCTATCACTAGTTCAGATGCCGAACTACTATCTAGTCTTCCTCAGGCTAAGACCATTCACTTGAATTTTTCCAAATCAGAACGAGTATGTTTCAATAGCTGGAACAATAAAAATTCTGTAGTAAAAACACTAGGATTTGTGCTGGATTTTATCATAAAACTTATCTTACTAACTTTTTCCAATAGGTTTTGATTAGTTAAAAACAGACCAACCAATGTGTTCCTTTATAAAATTGATTAGAATATGTAATATTCGTAAACATTATACATTTTGATTAATAGTAGATTTTGTAGTTAAATAAAATTGTTTGTTTAATCCATTCAAAGTGCCAGCAAATTTTCTTATGCAAACATAAACATTAATATAAAGGGTTACATAAAAATATTTTCTGTGACACAAAAATTATTGAATTTATGCGAGAGTTAGAATACTGTACAGGTTTTCAAACTGAGACGAATAGTTTTAGTAGGAGGTTACTCCTTCAAGCCTTTGACCCATAAATTTAATCCATATGGCAATGAAGCAACTTCATGAGATGCTGACCTCATGGTAGTCAATGATCAACATTATGTTTATATGCCATTCAGTCCCTCAGTATCCTAGAGTACATGTGTACTTTTGTTGAACCCAACTCGATAATAAAACTTTACATCACTGCAAAAATCAGTGTCTATCTCGGTTCAGTAGCTCAATAGTGGATATCGCGAAAGTGTTTTATATGGACGGTATTGTGTTTGAGTTTTGGAGTGAACATCAATTCTGGGATGTATGCCAAAGACATCCAGCTGCAGGCGAGTTTTAAATGAAACGAAACACGCGTCCTGGATAGCTACCAATAACCACTGTTCATCTCTGTTCATAATCTTTCCTTTTCATTCGTGTATATAGTTAGTTACTTTCTGATATGACTTTTGTTAGCTGATCAAATGAATTGACTTGAATAGGTTTCTTTGATCTTTTCTTTTTGTTGACCAAAAGGATGGTTGTATCATTTGTATAGTCAAGTTTTAAAATATTACCAATACCAAAATGATGAGATGAAGTGAGAAATCCACCACTCCTCTTTCTAAGCTTACTATTTATCTTTGAACAAGTTCAAAATGAGATTATTGTGTCTTTGAACCAACATGTATATATAGAAAGATAGCTTTCAAGTTGGTTTAAAAACAATTTAGACTCCTCAGTGGTGTACATTCGTCATCCTTCACCCGACAATCGAACCCAAGAATGGATGGGTTTTGCAAGATATCGTGAATTTACTGAAATCAGATATGTACATTAATTGATCCCGGTTTAGTGTTGCAGAGATTGAAGGTCAATCTGCAAAACCGAAGGCCTTGGTTCGACTCTTTGTGTCGTGGTCGTGAATTCGTAGCGCTGAATAACTCCATACTAGAGTGGTGGATACTACTCGCAATTTGACATAAGTATTATGCAGTGGAGTTTCACCCTGAAGTTAAAACTGTAGAGAAGAGTATCAGATCCGAATGTATGGCGCTATCACAGTGTTTTGTAGACTAGAAGACATGTCAGAGAAAACACCCAATAATCGATCAGCTTACTTTGTGAATGAAAGTCTAAAGATAGAGCGTACATATTTTGCTAGCAAACTGTGTTCTGTTTAAAAACATCACTTACTCCATCTTATATTAACATCTTCACACATTACACTAGTATTGGCTTAGAAATAAAATGGGTAGATGTACTTTTTAAATGTATAGATGAATACCTTAACAGTTGGTTCGTGGTTTATCAATATCAAAAACCACTTAGTTGCCTTCATAAATGATGGTCAATATTATAATTAACCTTTCCACATTCCCCTATTCTGAATATCTTGCCAACTAAATATTGGTGAGTTTTATTCATCCACCTACCTTGGCAATCGAACAATTCTGCACTTCATCCACGTCTTCATGAAATAGGACTGTATCCTAGAATGACAAGAGAGTCCTTATACTCAAAGGGTGAGGAGGGTCAGCTCTCCTCGTCTAAATACTTTCATAAGGCCATTGACAGAGAAATCCTGCTCACTGCTTTCTCTCAGTGGGGGTACCGAATTGAGAGAACGAAAGGCCCAATGTCTGACTGGGGCTTAAACCAAATTGTTGGTTACGAACGATCCGTCTAGCATATTTGAAAAATCTCGATTCCAAACCAACGGCACAGATGGGTTTTATGATCCTCATCGAATGAATGGCGTACAAACCTATTATTGTTCACCGTCTGCTATGTGACTGCATCTCCTAACCTTACCTTCTGGATAAGACATTTAGGTCAAAGGCTTTGGAAGTGGCTGTTTAAGTGAACCGCCTACTTCAATTTCAATATCCGGACAATATTCATTCCCATACACAAATTCAATGATTGATATGGTACACATATAATTTAAGTGTCCTTTTGTACCAATGTTTATTTATTTTTAAAATAAAAAGTAAATAACTGGAATTGAGACTGTTATGTCAATCAGCATTTCTGATTATATTAGATGATGGATGATTGGATATGTGTAACATTTTTTTTTATGACAACTACTTTCATATAGATTTATCGACTCTCCTTTTCATTCATTCATTCATTTAAGTCTAAACTTATTTTTTCGTTTGGTACAACTAATTATTATTCGTACAACGGATTAATAAGTTGAATCAGTTCTTGTTCTTATTATCAGAATAAATATAGAGATTATCAGTTTATTATTTACAATTGTCCCCAATCAACAACTACTTTTTGATTTGTATATGAACTACATTTGTGTGTGTGTGTGTGAAATACAGCTATGGCATAGGCTAGTTCCAATTTCTGAACTCAATCAATGTCAGGGCAGAGCAAAATTAAACAATCTTGAGCTAATAAGAACTTATTTGTTAACTTAAAAGTATTGGCGCCGAAAAGTATTCTGATTGATGTTTTTTATCATATGAACTCATTCAGCGGTTCAAAGTCACAACGATACTTGTACGCTCCCACACACACAACCCTGGTAATACTGTGTTTTAAACTATCCGACTTTAAATTATCAAACGATAGTTTGTCCATTGAACTATTTAACTTGTAATGGATAGGTGAAAGCAGAATACTTCTTTTGAAGTATTTGAAGACGAATATGGAATTTGTAGTAGTGATCTTGAAGATCTAGGAGAATGAACATATTGCTCAAGTGAACAACAGTTTGAGAATGGTCGCATGTGGTCTTCTAAATAATAATGATAATATATTTATTATCAAATAACTACGTTACAAGAATCATGCCAGTTTACAGGCTAGATCAAATTGTCACAAATGCTTTCACATTTACTGTAAAAGTCATAGCAGTTAAATTAAGTATAAGAGTCAGTTTCTGATAGCATATTTACACCATGTCACTGACAGAAACAGTATAATACAGCCACATTTTCAATAGTAGAGTACAAATAAGGAAGGCGCACAATAGGTTCCTTTGGAGATTTACCGAGATCAATAGTGAATTTGTTGGGTAAGGTCAATTGGAACGCACTTGATACGAGCTGTGATCCAGACAGTCATGTACATAGGGTGCATGTTCCCTAGAGGCGGCAAGGATTTCCCACCGTAAATGGGGCTCTGAAAAAGGGGAAAAGAGAGAGAGAGAAAAATGAGTTAACTCCATGCTTAAAATTGACAATGAATAAACTGTGTGTAGGAAAATTAAGATGTGTCATTTGTGAGGTTGACCATTTTTTTCTTACTTCGCCTTTGTTTTTTTTATGGGAGAAGGCAACGTCGCTCGCTACACATGTTAATTGTCTTAATTAATGCATTTTCTTGAAAGAAAAAAACGTTACTTGTATACTTTTCTCCCTCTTATTTAATTTATTTTATAGAAACGTTTAACTCTAATGCAAATTCGTCAACAAAATTGGTATATACAAGATCCACCAACACCAATGTCTGTAGAACAAATTAAAATGAAATTACGCAATGAATTGTCAAATTCTCAACAATTATCTAGCAAAAATACTGGCAATAATGATCCGCCATTATTGATACATACAACACCAAAACATAATTGTAATCAACAACAATCACATCAACGTTATGGTATAATCTGTTGGCTTGATCCATTAATTTATCTACGTCGATATCATACTACTGTTGAATATCCTCCACCGCATATAGATGATACAGGTGCTAGAATATTTAATACTGATGAAATTTTCAATAATTCAACTAATCAAAGGATGAATATTCATCATGATGACGATGATGATGATGATGATGACGATGACGACAAAAATCTGTCAACTAGGCTTAATCGTCATAATGGTATAGCACCGATTTCAGTGATTGATCGATTGAAAGTAAGTGTTGAATAGTGGGAGGGGGGGGCAGGGAGATTTATTTCATTTTCATGTATATTACTTACTTAACTACGTCTGTTACCCTCCGTGAAGCATAAACCACCAACGTAGTTTGTCTTGGGCTATCCCCTCAATTTCTCTCCCCAAATGTTGTTCCTTCTTTTGATTAATACCTTCATTTACTGGCGCAACATATTCTTTGGCCTTCCCCTTCCACTGGGGATTCCAAGTTAACGGTTGCTTTGTGATGCAGTTTGGCGATTTCTGCAAAATGTGTCTGATCCACCTCCAGGGTTTTTTTTTTAAAATCTCCGCTTTAGCTGGAATCTTGTTTGTTCTATCACACAGTAGGTTGTTACCGATAGTGTCCAGCCAATGGATCTATAGTATCTTGCATAGATAACTGTTTATGGGTAGCTGTATCTAAGAATCTCACTTTTCCCATTGTGTATGTTGAGACCTACTGTTACTACACTGGCCGTCGTCTGTATTTATTTGTTGTGTGCGGAGGGATAGAGGGGCAAGATCATTTGCAAAGTCCAGATCATCTAGCTACATCAGAGCTGTCCACTGTATCCCGTTCCGCCCCTCAGATGTTGAGGTCTTCATAATCCAGTGAACTAGCAGAAGAAAGAATCAATCCTTTCCAATTTATTGTTAGGTTTTATAAACACTCCAAACTAATATATCATTTCTGCATTTTGTTTAAAAATAATTCATGTGATCTCAATAGATTTCTGCTTGATATTATTATTCATAAGCTTACTTAAAACATTGTCTGGTTGTTAGGATATTCGTCCAATATCCTAAGAGAATTATTTGTAAGTCTCGTTCTATAGGTCAATTCCTATTGGTTAATTCCTACTGGTCAATATTATGGTCGTCTTAACTGTCAATGTTACAGACTTCAAATGTTGTTTCCTATTCGACCTAACTGTATAAATACGCATTATCTGTAAAAAATTTTGACCCGAACCCGGATCCCAAGTCCGGAATCCTGATTCTCTTCTGGACTCGGACCTCGTACTTTCTGGATGCTAGTAGAATACATTCTCTACTTCATATGAAGTCTTCTTCTTTCACTCAATGAGGGTTGGGAGTAGTATGTCTTGTCGCCAGATCCTCGATCCTCGCTATCGTTTTCCGACTTAGGTAAACTCGTAATAATTCAATCATATCAAATGACGTGTTTACGTTCATGCGTAACACTTGTATACTTATATTAAACATAATTCAACACTTTCCATTCACAACAACTATCACTTGGATATGCATTTCATTCATCCTAAAATTTCCTTTGTACAATTTTTTTCGTTTATATTTTTATATTTTTTTTAGGTATTTCATGATTTGGATGACTATGAAGATTATATGAGACCAGAAGATATGTCTAGCTTCTATTATTCACCGGAAGCATGTTTGCAATATTCCAATCTTGAAAAACATTTGGCTAATTTAGGTAACCAGATTCGATTCATACTAAGTGTTAAATTTCCTTTTTGTGCTATGATTTTTTAACTACTAACTAATAAATATAAGTAGTATATGAGATCAAAATAAAATTGCAAGCCTAGCTACATTTGTACAATATAGCGAATTGATTGAAGTTAGTTGTCCTGTTCACCATTGAATCACGGATCGTTTGGTTTATAACTCAAACATTCGCATCCAGGGCTAAAAAGTCCCACTATCTTTGATCCCTAGTAGTGGAGTTATGGGTCTTCACTGTGTACCGAGCAGGAGTTCAACACCAGAATGAAACAACTGTCTTCAACAATTTAATCATTGGAATAATTCCTGTGTAATTTTTTTCCAACTGGTACACCATTGAAGCCTAATGAATAAATGTACTACTCCATGGTATATCATCATTACAAGAAATTTCGTATTGAATTATTGACATTTAATTACTTCTTTTACTTACTTATCATACGAAGTGTTTTTGGCCTTGGTTAATTTGAAATAAATTTTTTTGAAAAAATGTACTACTCATAAGCTGGCAATATAAATACTATACAGTGGGATGTTTCCTAAAGTTGATACTAGATAGAAGAGTGTCTGAAGATTGAAGTATGTGGAGCGATCAGAGTGTATTGAAGAACAAAAGAGATTTAAGAGAAGACAGCCAAAAACCTACTTGCATTGCAAATGGCTGTTTGAAGATTATGACTAATCATTTTGTAAATCACTTGTGTCTTCTTCAAATATATGTATTCTCTCTGGTCTTGACTTCTTCGTTCATCACATTCGGATGTGGCTGTAAACGGACAAGGTGAGGGAAGCATTTCTGGGGACACTATGGTGTTATCGGGCGGAGTCGATGTTGAATGGAAGGTTCCCTGTCTAACGGAATGAGACGTGGGACATCCGGGTTGCTGAGTTGTTAGTGGAGTTGATTGGCTCAACTGGTCAACAGAACTACGGTGGTTGGGGCTCACGCGAATTCATATTTATAAATTAACTATATCTTCTTCAATCAGATATATACCATCTGGTTTTGACTTATAGTTCTGAGTTATTAGTTGTATTCTAGGCATCACTTTCACTCTAGACATCTAGTATTATGATCCACTGACTTGTCTCATTATTTTTTTTAAGAAAAAAAAACTGATCAGTTACAATCTTTTTTACATCAATAATTGTTGGAGATGTTAGATCCCCAAAAACTCACTTGATAAATGCCTTATTTTGGATTTCACGTTTGACAGCATGGGCTGATCAGTTGACCTTGAGATTTCATTTCCTAACAGGAAAATCCATGGCTGTGATTGACTGCTGTGTATTTTAGTGTGCTATTTTCGTAACTGTCCCAAGGACGTTTCTATGATGTATAAATAAATAAACGAGAGTTGTATGCTTGATTTTACTGTGATTGCTGGATGTTTTTAGAATATACTTTCTACGCTTGCAAAGCCTTTTATCTTCAGCTTGGGATTCAAGGTAGCCTACCTGGACGCTGGTTCATTGTCTCGTTCGCGTTTATCGACAAAGGTGAACTCGTAATAGCTTCAAACGTAATTAGTGACAAAGCCTACAATTGCGGGGTTTTTGTGAAGATTGTTAAGTTTCATTTGTAACCATGAATCGATCAATGTTAGACCGCCGTTAGAAACCTGGAAGCACTGGACGGCCGTTTCGTCCTGGTATGGGACTCATCAGCAGTGCGCATCCACGACTCCGTGGATTTGATCAAGTTAGACATTAACACCGTTAGATACCGGCTCAGTGGTCTAACGGTTAGGGCGTTCGCGCACAATACCGAAGGTCCTGGGTTCGAATCCTGCGAGGAGCAGGAGTCGTGGATGGGCACTGCTGATGAGTCCCATACCAGGACGAAACGGCCGTCCAGTGCTTCCAGGTTTCTAACGGCGGTCTAACATTGATCGATTCATGGTTACAAATAAAACCCTACAATAATAAATTTTGTTTTTTTTGTATTTTTATTTTCGATTTAATTATATTTTTCTTGTCTGTTTTAATCTTACTTTAAAAAATAGGTATTAGTTCACGTGTAGAATATGATCCAACAACAATTACCAACAATTATCCATATCATCCAATCAATTCTTTACATTCTATTAATCCTATTCATCAACCGGCTGATACGACTCATAGTGAAGATCATCAATCACATGGTTATTTTCTACCATCCGATCAACAAGGTCAACAACAAGTTAAACAAGAAAAATCTATAAATGCTCACATGAAACAACCACAACAACATTGGTGTCAAGATCTTGGTGTTCCAGTATATGAAGCAATAGAATTTAGCCAGAATCAAAATGATCATCTACCTGAACCACCAGCTTGTCCAGCAGATTTACCAATTTCCATTCCTACTTCATTTCGTTTGCCTAGATTTGTAATGAATCCAATTGGAACTTGTCGAACTAACAGTTCACCAGGTCCTATATTATTTGATTCTAATGTATGTGAACGAATACAGAATAATAATGCTGTCATGATAAATGATGCTGATGCTGATAATGATGATGATAAGATGATATCCAATCAAAAAACATGGCATTATGGTACACGACCAAAAGAGTTACTACTTCAAATCACTCGTTCAAAGGCACATCCAGAACAGCATCCATGCTCTACGACTATCCGCACTAATGAAGAAGAAGAAGAAGAAGAGGTAGAAGATACTGATCATTCAGATCAATTATCTACTGAATTCAATATGGATTATGAAAATTATCATGAAATTGATTCAACTAAATCATTACCATTAAAAAATATAAAACAAGAATTTTTGCGAAAATTTTATGAATTAAATTATCAAAATTTTAATAAATTTAGTCAATGGTTTTCTACTACACTGACTAATAATAATAATAATCCATTTCATTCATTACGTAATCGATTGAAAAATAGTATACGATTAAAAAAGAAACGCTCATTAGTAAATGTTTCAAATATGAATAATGACGATAATAATAATAATAATAATCGTTTATCTGTTGGTTTCTCTCCTTCTTCCCCTACTTCATCTACTTCTACTACAGTTTATTATAGAAATGTGAATAGTGCCACAGAATTAACTTCAATTGTACAACCATCATCAACACCAACAACAACATCATCACCAGCATCGACACCAATCCAACTGGATGATCAACATTCAATGAAATCAACTGGAACATTGCCAAGAGTAGTAGTACATCATCGATTAAAGCCTTGTTCACGTATATTTTCACGAAAAAAAACAATGAGAAAGGGCAATAATTGATTTTTGATTAGGATTCTCATTATTATTATGATGATGATGATGATTGTTGGTGTTGTGTTGTTGTCATCGTTCTGTTGCTGTCACATCGCTTTTACATCATTATCACTGTCGATGTGTATGTAATGTATGTCAGTATGTATGTATGTATTTCCCCATACATATGTGTATCAATCTATTCCTTCCTCTTCTCCTTTGCTTCAATTTTTTCATGACACAAAGTTGAATGATAAGCAATAAAAGATCTCATGTTTCACAGAGAATCAATAGTCTTGTTCATTGTATTATTATTATTATTATTATTACTGTTGTTGTCATCGGTTTGTCCAATCTCCCCCGATGATGATGATTATGATGATAATGATCGTAGTCACTTGAGATTACATCATTTTTATGCCAAATTAATCAAATGTTATTTATTTTGATGATACAGCAAAATCCCCTCTTTGTCTCTCTCTTCCTCTCTCTAGCTTTTTTTTGTACAATTCACATTCACCAATCAGTGCTCCATTAATGGGCTGTTTTCTGAAAAAATCATAATGATCATTGTGTTTCAATAGCTTCTTCTCTTGTGTATCGAGCTTTTTTTTTGTTTTTGCTCATAGCGTTTGCTCATGACTGTGTTAATTAGTCTATTGAAAGTAGCGGTGCAAGGAGTTTTTTTTTCTCCTCACTGCTACCGCCACCATCTTGTCTATTTGTCATTTTCATTCCCTCTCTATCATATACATACCACACACACACACACAGACGTGCTCGCTTAGTCCTCTTCTTGCTAAATATCATTTGCCGTTATCACTATAGATTTTTCTCTTTTTTTTTGTTGTACCGTATGCGCACACTTACACGCACACACACACACACACACATGAAACTTGTACTGATCTGTCGAACGCGATGATAACTGTGACCCTATTGTAAATAGTATGAATTCGTGTAAAATTCCAATCACACCTACTACATAACAACACATATATAGATTATTGTTGTGTTTTTGGCCAAACTGTGTTTGTCAGAAAAAATGCCACGATTTTTTTCAGCGCTCTTTCTGTTGCTCTCAATCTCTTGATTTTTCTGTTTGTTTGTTTTTTTGTTTTATCCCTGCCTAATTATCATTTATTTTATAGAATTATTCGAAAAGACATTTTTCTGACTTCATTTAATTCTTTATTCCCCATATTCTTCAGCATGCAACTAACTGTATTATTGTTATTTCATATTATTTTACAATGTGTTTATATGTACGCATGAATTTATAGTTGTGTGTACATGTAGCACGTGTAAATTTTCCCAGTGTTTGCACACAGATAAACTTGCGTGCACAGACTTACGCTTCATTGTGGCTATTGAGAATATATATAGATATTTTTTTGTTGTTTAATATTCTTCACTACTTACAAGTAGTGTGGGTTTTTTTTTGAGTATTCATTTTGTTTTTAGTGTATATATTGAAAATCTAAGGATAAACGAGCGTTGCAACACTAGGCTTTATACGTATATATGTTTGATATCGAAGCGTGGAAAACGTTTAACGTATCCATATTCTGTTGTTTTTCGTTAGGCATGTAAAGAGCAGTAGGATGTTAACCATATTTCGCGTTCTTGATTTAAACTTAACAATTGAATTGAATTTTTTCCACTATCGCCCTGACGAATACTATCAGCTCTTATTTAATATAGTGATAAATACCTGTCTACTTACTGATTGGCTACAGATGTGAATACCACACCTTTTAAAGATTCTTAGTATTCCCTCAATTTAGAATTTCAGTCAGTCGCAACATTTAGAACTTGTGATATGTATGTGCATCGGTTCACAGCGAAATTAAATTGTTAGAGTAATTCTCAGAGTTTGTTTTATTATTTATCTAAACATATAAACATTGGTTCAAGGTTGCATTGAAATTATTGAATTTGTATGTGTGCTCGGTTACTAACCAGATAGTAGGGGTATTTTACTAGTATTATCGGTAAAATACATAGCAAAAAAATATACGAATCATTGAAGTGAGAAAAATTCTGAGGAATTCAAGAATCTAGAATCTGGAGGAAGACGACGAACAAGTGAATTCTTCTGCGCTATTGCGAACGATTTTGAGCTATATCACCCAATCAATGTCTTGAATCACTGGTTATGATTATCACAGTTACCTTAACCGGATAGTGTGTACCTATTAACATGTCTCAGTACTATTGTCAATGAATTGATGGACTGATGTTATGTTTTAATTTGGCTGCCTTGAAATTTTTTTCCAACCTACTTCTACACTAGTCATCATCACCCTTTGAGCGAAGCGATATTTTTTACTATTTATTTTTAAACACTATGATGGTATTCTATCATGTCTCGGTTGTTTAGTCAGATTACATAATCAGTTGAATTTAAAAGTTCGGTGTAATATTACGTGAGTTACATAAAACAATATTCGTTTGACTGCTGAAGCTAATCATGGTGTCGCTGGTGTTGTTTCATTCTCTGAGCTGGATATTTTAGTTGTGAAGCTTTTATTGTTCTTTTAAACAACATCATCAGCACAAACTTCAGATAGAATTGAAGTATTCGAATTTCTCCACGTTTGACCCGTAGCCTGTTCTGTTAACCTCGATCTTGATCGGTTGTTGTTGACCTTAAGTCTGTCGTTGTTTGCACCTTTGTTTTGATTGTATCCACCCGTTTTGATCTGTTTCTTGATTCAATGTCACCTATGATTTTCCTGATTGTTTGATAAATTGGGTCAATGTCGATTTGTTTGCTGATTGACCTGAGTGCCAAGCTTCTCAAAATTCTCTAGTGTTCTTTGTGCTCCCCCTGTCCAGTATTTCCACATTGTTCCAATCAAATGTATGTCCATAACTGTCAGTGTGTATTGATATAAGCCAAGAGTTGTCATGGCGTTTAACTGCTAGTTGGTGTTCACGTTAACGAAGCTGAAGAGGCCGTCCACTTTGTCCTATGTAGTGTTTTTCACAGTCTGAGCAATTTATTTTGTAGATGATATTCTCCACCATCTCTAATCATGATGGGCATTTTCTGCCTGATCTTCAACACCTAGTCCTCATATATATAAATTATCATCATCAACAGCAACGTAGAACTTAGCATGTAAGTACATCAGTTCAAGTTGCCATGCCACGTTAGCACAGAGTTATAATTGTCAATTCAAATCCCATAGTAGCAGAGCTAGTAAAAGTATTGGAAGTAATCGGAGAGATTAGGGTTCGAAGATGTTATTCAAGAAGTATATTTCAGTGAGGTAAATTTAGAAAGAGTAGCGTCTGTGAAGTTCCATAATCTATCTATTCCTCCTTTTCAAGTTACCGACCCATACCTATGGTTTATTAGGCTTGAAAATTACCTCTCAGTTAATCGTGTTATTTTACAACGAGATAAATTCGGATACGCATGTGTACTGCTCCCAGACGAAGTAGCTGAAAGTGTTCGCAATGTTTTAACTAAACCGGACCCAGATATGCCATACGACGTATGAAAAATTGCTGTCATAAAGGCCGTCTCACTGACCGACCAACAAGCCTCACACCAAATCCTCAACCGAGTAGAACTTGGTGATAGGACTCCGTCACAGCTAAAAAATTACATGAGGAGCATAATAGGCGACAGAAGGATGGACAGCAATAGGTTTTATCAATTGTGGCTCCGGCGACTCCCGCAAATTATTCAGCAAATCTTTGAAATTGAGGATAGACAAGTAGATTTAGATCATATTGCGGAAATAGGTGATAAGATCTATGAAAGAATGGAAACATTGAGTCCACAGATACATCATACTTCAGTTAAAACTGAAATCGAAAATTTAAAAAAAAAAGAGATTCACCATTTATCAACATGCGCCTGATCTGACTCCGCTCCTCATCGTGCTCAGAGTCGCCAGGGATGAGCTTTCGAGCATCCATCAGTTCCGTAGATGCTACTGAAGTCCACGGCTTCTCCCTAACCTTATGGTATACCTTACTAGAAGATATGACTGCTGTTTCCACAGGTGTCTTTTCTTTTCGCTGAGTCTACCTACTCGAGCGTTAAAGTCACCAGCCATTATTACTATATCAGAGCGCTTAACATTGTGGAGAAGTTTATAGAGGTTTCTATAAAACTTATCTTTCATGTCGTCTGAACTGCAGTCAGTGGGAGCGTACGATGAAGAGGCAACGGCGAGTGTCTCTGTCCTTCCGAGTCTGTACCGTTCCGTTTAGTCGGATAGCGCATAAGTGACTGTCTATCGGGATCCAGTCTAAGATAGCTAGTTCTGCCCTAGGATTTAATGCTATACCTACTCCGGCGAGGCCACAAGAAGCGGCATCAGGGCTTCCAGAAACGCGAAGCGTAAACCCTGTTGTGTCTCTATCTGCACTAGGTGAGATCAAACTGATGATTTTACTCAGGTTTTGTATGCGCGTTTTGGAGACGCAGCATACATCGATCGCCAATGAAGACTGTTGCCCTATTTGGCATAGGGTTCGAACATTAAAAGCTCCTATATTTAATTTAGTGCAGGGTTTTAGGAGACCATGAATAATGTTTCTGGAGCACATGCCCTTTGCTTCAGTGGCGTGAGGTGATAAACGATCGAACGAAGAGTTGGTCGAGGAGATAAGAGAGTTATTAAGAGGTGTAGAAAGGATTTGATTGTGACCGATTCGGTTTCGCGTTTTTGTATGGGTATGAAGTCGGATGTTCTCCCCGGCTGCCCACACCGTGGAAGGTTGTTTCTTGAGGAACGTGAAAAAGAAAGTAGATTAGCGTTGGCCTTAACGACCTGCGAGCGTGACCGCAGATCCCAAGGGACAACTCTGCTTGAGACCGGTCACGCACGGCCTTTTTATTAAAGGTTTTCTGAGTATTAGCTCCGCTCTTCAAAGCCTTAGTGGTCATCCTTACCGACGGAGACGGAAATCCGTGAGGTAGGGTGAGGTGTGACGTTTCTAGGGTCGACCTTTTCTAACCCTTCCTTCCTTGTGAGAAGGCAGCATCGCTGCAGATGCTGGTT